CTCCCCCACCCCACCCCTCTCCCCCCACTCTCCCCCCCACCTCTCCCCCCACCTCTCTCCACCCCACGCCCTTCGCCAAACCGCATGGACCCAGCGCGGCGAGGTTTATAGTATTATCGCCCAATTGCACTCAGATTGTAAATGGTGCTGCGGGGGTTTCCTCTCCGACACCCGGGCCGTGGTGCTGGAGTCGTCACTCGTTGCCACGTTTCGTTCCACGTGACAGACCTCGCCGATTGGCCGTGTCGGGTGGAGGTTGGGTTTACAACACAATTACATTCACCCGATATAACCCCTTAAGCTCGCAGTGGGTTGATAAATGTTTGTGATTGTTCTACTGTTATTATTATGGTTAATATCTAATTTATGGTGGAATAATTCGTATTATTTTTGGGGGGGTTTAAACACCCCCCTCGCCTCCCTACAGATGTATCCTGATCGTACTTTGGGCTTGGTGCCTTGGTGAGATGATGAATCCATTTGGAAATCTCGGGGTTGTTAAAGAACGGTCCACTGAAGTGGATGTCACGACGCTACCTCGGAGATCCATTCGCGTGAAATCTGGTCCACGCATTACCGGGCAGCACTTTAACCACCCACTCTTAATAACGAAAAGGTGATAACGCTTCACCGCACGGTATCCACTCATCGCTCTCGTAGAGAAACAGAGGGCGACTCAGAGAGATAAAGAGAGGGCGAGTCAGAGAGAGAGAGGACGACTCAGAGAAAGAGAGAGGACGACTCAGAGAGCGGACGACTCAGAGAGAGAGAGAGGACGACTCAGCGAGAGAGAGGACGACTCAGGTAGAGAGGACGACTCAGAGCGAGAGAGAGAGAGGGACGACGACTCAGAGGAGACTGGAGAACGAATCACAAACAAGGAGCGGGAAGGAATATACTTGACCAATGAATGGGTGTGTATAGATGTGGTAGGAGGCCGGATACAACTCACGCGTGCGAGGGGACAGCACTATATCCCCGTAAACAGATGGAAGAGGTGGAGTCCACATTGCTTTGTTTTCCTGTACCGCCTTTACCTGGCGACCCAAGGGGTACGGCACCTCCTCGACCCGACGCAAACCCGCGGAGAGGGGGGAGTTTAACAACCGGTGCCGATCGCACATCCGATTGGCACGGTTGGCTACGTATGGTGTGAAAGAAGTTCAACATGCATACATCGGTGTGTGATCTACTAACCCTCGCTGCTGTCCCCACACGCAGCGACGTGCAGCAGTAGCGCAGCCATCATCAACCATCACAATTACACTGGTAGGAACCACCTGGTTCCACCAGCCCACAGGGGATTATTGTGTCCGTCTGTAGTGCATCCAAACATGGGAGGGGTGGGCTGGGTGGAGAGGGGAGGGTGGGGAGGGGCTGGGTGGGGAGGGTGGGGAGGGGTTGGTGGGGAGGGTGTAGCTGGGTGGGGGGTGGGAGGGGTGGGGCAGGGTAGAGAGGGGCTGGTCACCCCGTGGTGCCCTTATCAAATTCAACGTTTAACCTACTCACGCCGGCTTGTGCCCGCCCTCACAGTCGGCCATATTTGCGGAATACACCACGCCACCGCTGACCCTGGCCATTGACCGAGCAACCCAACGTTCCTACCAGCTCCCTCCGCAGGAATGTGTTAGCCTCAGATTTTTGGTATGTTTTCGTATTATTTTTAACCAGGGTCTGTACTTGAGCCGTATTAAGCGAAGAAGCAAATGTAATGGTATATTTTAATCCGCGCGAGGCGTCGTTGGTGACCGATCTGACACCATCAGCACATCCAACTTGACAACCGTTTTATAATAATAGTTCAGAATATGGAAGGCTCGCGTATTTGGTTGTAGTTGCAAACTCTCAGCGAGAGACACAGAGAGAGAGGGAAAGAGACGGGGAGATAGGAGTGATGAGAGAGAGAGAGAGAGAACGAGAGAGAACATGTCAGAAGCGTTGGGAAAACCACAGTCAACGTGTCCATTGGAGAGAGAGAAAAAAAACCCGCCTCGCAACAATTGCCCGAACTCTGAGGTTCATCATTTGGGATGCTTGGCCAACTCGATCAGCGAGTGATCTATAAAATCACCGGCGGCTCGTTGACTGCATGGCTGTCCTGGATTGGAACCCGGCTCGTCAGCGGTGCGTGGCTCTCGGTCTGCATTCAACTTTCACATTCAGGGGTGCCGCGGTGGCGAGATGTTAACTCTCTCTCCGGGTATGCAGGAGTCTTGGGTTCGGAGGGTGGGGGGGGCGGGGTGGGGGGGGCAGCCGAGAGTCCAAACCGAGGAGTCGTCTTGTCCAGCAACAGCAACCCGCTGAGACGTGGCGAGTGGAGCTGATGGAGCTTTCGGAATGGAGAGACCACGTTGTGCTCGATGTTAATTACCTCGCCTGGTATGCAGGAGGATCGTGGGCTCGATTCCGACACCTTGCCGACGCCTGCTGTTTATGCGGATTTTGCGTTTCTCCCTCCCCGTGGTCGCGTGGATTTTGTCTCCGGGTCCTCCGGTTTTTTCCCTCCACATTTGTAATTGATAAATATCACGAGTTTCGAAAATTTGCCTGCTATAATTGTCCTCATCATCAGCCACTTTGTTGAGCTATCACTTGTGATGCGGCCAGGTCGCTTCTGAAAAATAGCTACATAGCCCAGTGGGCCTTACCTGGTGACAAAAAAAAGTTAGTTTAAATAATAGCGTGGGCGTCGTTAAAACTAATTGCAAACGCCCCCTTGCCTGCGTGGTTGGGTTCATGAATTATGCGCGCTTTGTTCGCTTTAATTTGTAAACAATTAACACCTCCGGGTGTTTTTGTAAAGGAGGTGGGGCGGCCAAGAGACCGCGGAACGCACCGCGAGCGAGCGAGAGCCGCACGTTAATTAATCTCGTCAATTCATTATCTCACTCGAATTAACCGATTATTAATTGATTCATTTATTAATGTGTCTGTGATTCGTACGTGGCCCCGGCTTGCTGGAGTGTAATTGGCGCCATGCTGAATTGATAAATTAATCGCTTCATTAATAGATCAATTGATAATACAGTTAATTGGTTGGTTAATTAATTGCTTTCATATGACGCACTACACTACAGCGACTGAATCGCCCGTGACGCGACAGGTTCGGCAGCCACGATACAGGCGGAGAGTTGTAGGTGATTGGGGGGGGCAGTGGGTGAGGGGGGGGAGCAGGGGGTGAGGGGGGGTTAGATGGTGAGAGGAGGCAGGGGAGAGAGATGGGGGGGGTTACATAAAGCAAAGTTTAAAAAAAATACGAAATGATGAACGAAGCAAAGTGCCGACTACACCGAGCATCTTCTTGTTTCCACTGATCGTAAAAAAAGAGAGAGAGGAGGGGGGAGGAAGATAATTAATGGGGGGGGTGGGGTAGGGGGGGTGAGTTGGCGGGATGGAAGAGGGAATGAGGAGCGGTGACTGCGCTCCCCTCGTGTCTCTGTCGTCTCTCGCTTATCTGCAGAGCGAGGTGAAGGGGAGGGAGGAAAGTGAGGTTGAGTAGGGGGGGGCGATCAGAGTTGGGAGGTGGGGGTTGGGGTGGGGTAGGGGTGGGGGTGGGGGTAGGGGGGGTTTCTGAAGGAAACATCGCGCAACTCCGAGGGCGAACATCTATTCACGGCGCACGAAGCGATCGAGCTCAGTGTCATCGATGATGCGCTCATCCCTTTACCTAACCACTCACCCACGTGTCCAGCCACCCGACCCTGCCAACCACCCTCCCGCCCGCCCACCAACGCATCCACCTACCCAACCACCCATTCAATCATCCACCCACTCAGGCACCCACCCACATACTCTCATACGCACCTACCCATCCACCCCATTCACCCACTCACCACTCACCCTACCACCCTCAGAACCGTATACCGACCCATCCCACCCACCGATCCATCCATCCACCCACTCACCCACCCAACCACCCACCCCCATCCACCCGTATACCCAACCACCCAAACAACCTCTTACCCACCCCTCCACCCACCCACCCCTCCACCCATCCACCCCTCCACCCACCCACATGCTCATCAAAGACACAGAGCCCTCAACCGCACCACCCTCAATCACTCTTCCCCCCTCCCTCTGTCTGTCTCTCTCTCTCTCACAACCCCCGCCCCTCAACATCCCCTACCCACCCACCCCGTCCCACATCCATCCCTCTCCTCCTACTCCTCCCCCTCCTCCTCCCCGCTATCTGCCCACTACAACATTCTCACATCCGTGAGTTCGCGCGCCGGCCACTCAAAGGACGCGGGCGGGCGGGCGGTCGCACGGACAGCCACGCGAACAGACAGACAGCCAGACGGACGGAACAACAGGCGGAACAAGCAGGCGGAACAAACAGGCGGACACGCACGGGACTTGACTCTCTCCCTCGTTCTCTTTTCCGCGATCGCCCTCGCGTCAAAGGCGCTCCTTGGGTCGCCCTCGCAGCGGCGGTGCCTCAAGCGCCGTCTCCTCGTTGGGCCGGGGAAGGTGCGGGGGGGTGTGGGGGGTGGAGTGGCATCAGAGAGCCTGAAAACGCGCGCCGCGAACACCGCTCGCAGTGAACAGAAGAGAGCGGACAGTGAGTGGTGTTCGAGAGAGGTGCAGAGAGAAGGGGAGAGAGAGAGTGGATGAGTTCAGATTGATCGAGAGACACGCAACAGAGACACGAACCTTCCTTTTCCGAGGCGACACGCTGCGACATCCAAAGCGGGGACCACGCCTCGCCATCAACCGCCACAGTCATCATCCGCATCATCACTGCCACCACCACCAACAACAACAACATCGTCGTCGTCATCAGCATCGACACCACGTGCGAAGGATAGCGCATCGCGCCATCGCGTGTGCGTGGGGAGTTCTGCCTGCCCGGGGACTGGCGACTTTGAGTGCCCGAAGAGCAAAGGGGGTTCGTGGGATCGTGCTGGGGGTGGGGGTGGTGGTGAGGGTGGTGGTGCGTGCGGTGGGAGAGGTGGGAATCAAATCAAGGAGGAGAGAGCGCGCGTTGTGGTCGCTGGGAGTGGTGGGAAGTGGCGAGCGGAGAAGCGTGGAGGCGGGTTGCGAGTGAGAGAGGGAGGGAGGGAAGAGAGAGGAGTGGAGGGAGGGAGGAAGGGACGGAGAGAAGGAGGGAGGCGCTGGAGCGAGGAGGTGGGGAGGACACGGGCAGGAGGGAGAGAGTCGAGTGAGGGAGAGAGGGCGGGAGAGGGAGGTGGGATCCCGAGACGAGAGAGAGAGAGAGGCAGTCGCTGCCTAAAGACGCCATTGAACGATCCGCGCGCCGAACCGCGCTCCGTGTCAACGCGGGACCCGGCGCGCATCGCCAGCGGCGTCCTCATCAGCATGCCGCGACGGAAGCAGCAAGCGCCGAGGCGTGCGTCCGGTAAGCAACACGGTGTGCTTGAATGTTGCGTGCCCCCATCCGTCTTTGTCTCTCCGTGACTTGTTATCCTGTCTCTGCCATCTGTCTCTCTATCTCCCTACTCTCCCCCCGCCCCACCGTCTCTCTGTAGTGGTGGGCAGCAAGCACGCACGCACACGCGCGCGCACGCACATACACGTGTGTGTGTGTAATGCGTTCCACGCTGTCTGTCATGTGAGCTGTTGTGCGTTGCCTATGATGTGAGACAGACGCGGACGCATCACCCGCGCGGCTGGTATCATGGGTGTCTCGCTCCGGGTGGGCGGGGGTAAAGTTTGGGATGGGTAACCTGGTTTGCCCACTTTTTGTGAGAGTTGAGAATGCTTTGATAATTAGTTAATGAATGCGAATTAAGGGGGGGGGGTGGAAGGTAAACACAGTAGGGAGCAGTATCGCAGTTGTTGAGTTTTCCATTTGCTCTGTCATGTTGTGTGAAGGTGGCTAGGAGATGTTCACTACCTCGCCGGATATGCAGGAGGTCGTGGGTTCTATCCCGACCCTGACGCCTGCTGCTGTGTATTTGGAGTTTTGCGGCGTCTCTCTTCCCGTGGTCGCGTGGATGTTTCTCGGGGTTCTCCGGTTTTTCCCTCCACATGTAAAAACAACTAAAACGTGTTTTTTAGAGTATTTGGCTGCAATACATTTCCACGCGATAAGCTACTAAGTTGAGCTATCATTTGTGATCGCAAGGTCGCTTCTGCACAAACACGATGTAGAGCTGGTAAAGTAAATTTTTTAACATAGTTTCGTTTTAGTTTTTACCACGACACAGCACCGGGAAAGGCGACGGACAGTCAGCGTGATGGCCTTTAATATTGTTTATAGATAGATCATGTGTATATGTATGTTGGACTTCTTTAGCACCGTACACAGCCAGCCGTGCTAATCGGAGGTGCGGCGATCCAACCGTGCTAAAAATCTGAGTTGATTGCATTGTTTTTTTTTGTATTTTATTTGTATTTTATTTCTTGCCCCTTTCAGTTACAATTCGCTTGATCTTTTTTACCGACGTAACGAAAGAAAACGCACGCAAAAAAAATAACTATGCTGACACGGACACACACACACACATTATATATAAATATATATTCAGTACTGTATATCCGAGCAAAGAGCCTCCGTCTGGTGCAGTTTTCGCAGACGAATTGCCATCCTCGATTTGACGTGTGATTGATTGTCCGTCATGCTAGGAACTTTGATCTATTCATTGCGGATAAACATCAATAAATCAGCCCCGCTCTCGACCGCTGCTACTGCAACGTCTGCTGCGTTAGAATAAAACGAAGAAGATAAACACGCGTATGGATGTGTGTGTGAGTGGTGCCACTGGGGGATACAAAGGCGGCCGGGCAGGTTTGGTGCTAACCAACCACCCACCCAATCACCCACCTCGTGTGCCGTTCCGGCCTTCATCGGTGCTACTCGCTAACAGCACTTGCCCCAACAGTATTTTAAGGCTATATGGGTGATATGTGTCTTTGTCTCTGTCTATGTGTGTCACCCGGCACACAAACAACAAAGACAAAAATTCCGCAGCCCCCCCCCCCCTCTTCCCCGTATAGCCCCAACAGACTTTTAGGGCAAGGGCGATTAGCGCGGACATTTGAAGGCCGGCACGGCGCACGAGGGATTGGGTGGCCGGCACCTCGCCCGCCCGCTCGGCCGCCGTTGTCTCCATAGTGCCGATGTTTTAACACGTCGCACCAGGTACTCATTTTCATGCTGAGTCGACCTAGGGGGAGGAGGCGCAGGACCGGTTCAATTATTCGGCACGGGTGTTGGCCGTGAGCGGGAATATGACTCGTGTCGCTGGGTTTCGTATTGCAGCGCGATTACCACTATACTACGGCGTGTGCGTGTGTGCGTGTGTGTGTGTGTGCGTGTGTGTGCGTGCGTGTGTGTGTGTGCGCGTATATATGTGTGTGCGTGTGCGCGTGTGTGTGTGCGCGTGTGTGTGTGTGTGTGTGCGTGTGTGTACGTGTGTGTGCGTGTATATACGTGCGTGTGTATACGTGCGTGTGTATACGTGTGTATACGTGTGTACGTGTGTGTGTGTGTCACCAGCACACAGATCCACGCACACGCGGTTACGCCGCCGACCGCTGTGGGATACTCGCAGAAGATTGTTGGCACCTGTCACGAAATGCTCGTGCCACGCCGTGCTACACCGTGCCACTCTGTGCCATACCTTAGCCACATCTTAGCCACACCGTGCTACGTCGTCCCCACACCGCGCCACGCCGTGCTACATCGCGCTAAACCGCGACACACCGCGACGCACCGTGACGCACCGTGCCACAAGCCACGGGCTAACGCACCGTGCCACAAGCCACGGGCTAACGCACCGTGCCACAAGCCACGGGCTAACGCACCGTGCCACAAGCCACGGGCTAACGCGGTGGTCTACACACTGGCGCGCGTGGAGGTTCGACGTTCGGGCAAGCTCAAGGGAGCCACTGGGGAGCATTTGGAACGCGGGGAAGCGCGGGCTCGATGGACAAGGCGCAAGGGTGGCAGGGAGAGACCGGGGGGAGGCTTAGCGAAGCGTGGGGTTGTGGAGATCGCGGCGCGCGACGGGAGGGGGCAGAAGCAAGGGGTGAGGTCGTCACGAGAAGGTGGCAGAGGACGCGGCGTGAGGGGAGGCAACGTGGAGGAGGAGGGAGCGAAGTGGGGAGCAGGGCGTAGGGGAAGGAAGCAGGGCGTAGGGGAGGTAAGCAGGGCGTAGGGGAGGTAAGCAGGGCGTAGCAGGAGGAGGGAGCGTAATGCATCGCTGCGACGAAGCAGAGGGAAGCAGGGGGGGGGGGGCAGGGGGTGTCGAAGGAGGAAGTAGGAGGTGGAAGAGGCGCGATCAGAAGGTAGTCGGAGGGAAAATGATACTCGCATATCCGGCGACAGGCACGGCATGGGGTAGGGGGGTTCGAGTATGCGAAACGCGGTGGTGGTGGTGGTAGTTGTGGTGGATGTAGTTGTTGTGGTGGTTGTTGTGGTAATTGTGGTGTTTCTGGTTGTGCTGGTTATAGTGGTGGTGGTGGTTGTGGTGGTCGTGGTGGTGGTTGCGAGAATGGCCCAGTGGTTTAGTTGAGATGTCTCTCTCTCTCTCGTCCCACCCCGCACCGTCTCCGCCTCTCACGGCCCGTCAGAACGACTCTGTTTCCCTTTTGATTTAATTGTCTGCCGCCTGACAGGCACATTCATCAGTGGGCTTAATGGTCAATCAAAACCTGGCAGCCTGAGTGCTTTCATTCTCTATCGAGAGCGGTCCCGACTCTCCGGGCTCCCCTTAATGGCTGCCGCAAGTTTGATGACCGAGTGAACAGCTATTTAGCGGGATAAAGCATTAAGTCGCAATGTTTATTTTTTATTTGTTTCATTATCTGCATTGTCCACCCCCCCCCCCCAACTGATGAATTCGGATCGAGAGAACGAGATAAGATGACCGCTAACCAACCGACTCGCACGACCCACCCGTGTCTCGTAGGGTACGGAAATGTATTCGTAGTGTCGGTAAATCCAGGCGGAGGATATCGTCTCGAGACGACTCACGGCTGTGGGGAAAGGAGGGTGGACTCACCATGTCACCTGGAGCGCGTGACGGCCGCGGCAAGGCCACGCGTGATTCAGCAGATGGATGCCGATGTCCAGGTCTGATCTGCAGCTCGCCTTCGCTCAGGGCGAACTGTGGCTGGCGTGATCAGTCACCTGTGTTCGATTCCCGGCCACGGCTAGCAATCACGTCACAGTGCAGCGATTTATCTACATTCCGTGTATGTCTTCTGCACCTCCGATTAGCGCGGCCGGCTACGTACGGTGCGATAGAAGCTCAACATACACACGACACAGTGTCGCTCTCTATCTGTCTTTATTTTCTGCACAGGTCGAGGTCGCACTTAACACCGCTCTTGTTCACCAACCGACGCGGTGAAGTATGGTCAGACGAACCCCCCCCCCCCTCCACCCCCGTCCTCCCCCAACGACCAACATTGCTGCCTTCAATCCAGCAGTGGATTTGGTAGGAGAGGGGGGGGGGATGTTGATTCGCTAGTTTCACGGTCCTTGCGAGGTTTTAAAACGCGCCTCTTGCGATAGCAGCGGCCGCATTGTTAGCGATGCACATGCGGCCATCGGATACATCCGAGTCTCTCGCATATGTTCTCGCGTCATCACGCAATCACATCCACCTTTCACTCACATCCACCACTCACTCACGTCCACCACTCACTCACGTCCACCACTCACTCACATCCACCACTCACATTCACCACTCACTCACATGCACCACTCACTAACATTCACCACTCACATCTACCACTCACTCACATCCACCACTCACTCACATCCACCAGTCACTCACATCCACCACTCACTCACGTCCACCACTCATTCACATCCACCACTCACATCCACCACTCACTAACTCACATCCACCACTCACTCACATCCACCACTCAATCACGTCCACCACTCACTCACATTCACCACTCACATCCACCACTCACTCACATCCACCACTCACATCCACCACTCACTCACATCCACCACTCACTCACATCCACCACTCACGTCCACCACTCATTCACATCCACCACTCACATCCACCACTCACTCACTGACATCCACCACTCACTCACATCCACCACTCAATCACGTCCACCACTCACTCACATCCACCACTCACATCCACCACTCACTCACGTCCACCACTCACGTCCACCACTCACATCCACCTCTCACATCCACCACTCACATCCACCACTCACTCACGTCCACCACTCACGTCCACCACTCACATCCACCTCTCACATCCACCACTCACTCACATCCACCACTCATTCACGTCCACCACTCACTCACGTCCACCACTCACTCACATCCACCACTCACTCACATCCACCACTCGCTCACATCCACCACTCACTCACATCCACCACTCACTAACATCCACCACTCACTCACATCCACCA